GATTAAATTATCCTGAGTATATTCCATGTAATGAGTTCAATTGTAATATGTAAGTATATAATAATAAGTTTACTTGTTTAATCTAACTCCCTCTTGCTACCATCAAACGGGGTGATAAGGGACAGTTTTAAGCATTTATATTAATAACTTCTTACCATGAAACATTTCATAAACAAGTTTGGGCTTGTTTTAAAGCTCTTTGTGAGGGGTAATTGTATGGCATCTTCAAAAAAAATTCCATATGCTATTTATAAGGCAACACGCAAAATGAAAGGGTCCTGATTTACCCCTGGAAACTGGGTAATCCGGGACGCTGTCTTGCGGAAATGGCTGCCCTTTTTTTTTGTTAATGAGATACCCAAATTCGGTCAATCACGTTTTTCAAGACAATGCCTTTCTGCAACTTTTATGTAAGTAAAATTTTATAAAATTTTTCAATACAGCAAATATATATATATATATTTTTTTTTTTTTTGCTACAGACCTTAGTAAAGGTACTTTTCCAAAATCTCACTTTTAACATATTTTTTGAGGGATTTTTTAGAGGTAGTAAATGTATGATTTCTTAACTTGCTTTATGCTACATAGAAAGTAAAAAATTTTCAACTTTATGCCACTATTTTTAGTTTTGCAATATTTTGATTAGTTTAGCTGCTATAACATTTAAACAAAATGTGGGACGACAGTCCTGATCACAGAAAATGTAATGTGTAAAAATCACAGAAAATGTAATTTATTCTACATCTGCATCATCTGCAAAGGAAGAGAAGGTTCAAACGTTTTAAAATTGGGTTTTATTTCAAGTGTCCCTAATTAGCTACCTACCTACTCTGTTCCCAGGGGCCACTGTGCAGAGAGTGAACGAAGATTTAAAGACCTACGGCGACGCATTATCGGCAAAATTTTTGCCTTCAGAAGATCTTGCCGACACATTTAGATTGAAATTCTTGCATTTAATATATTTCTCAGTCTTCAGCCAACTATTCCGGTACGTTGGATGGATTACGATGCAGCGAAGCTTGTCCGGAAATCAGTTGCGATGAGTTCCCGCAAAAAATGTAAACAGCATTTTTTCGATTGCGTAGTTTCGGTCGCATTAGAGCAGTCAGACTGCTTTATTACTTGTTCAGTTGACACTAGCTGTACAACCGGACTGTTTTCAGGGTAAAATTATTTATTTGGGGTAACACGTGCATGCAACCTTGTAATAAGTTCGTGGCTTGTAAATAGTTCGTCATTACTCAGCGTAAATGGCTTTTCATTAAAAATTACCCGGCGACGCATCTTTAAAATGGCCGGCGACGCTTTAGGCTTAAAAATCCATATATTGCCGACGCTGCATCCGCCCTCTGCATAGTGGCCCAGGGGTAGCTAATTAGGGATGTTTTTATTTTGGGTCTGGCACCTTACAAATAGCATATGGAAATAATGAAATTTTTCAGAGATGCCATATAATAACCCTAGCAAAGGCCTTTAAAATGAGCCCAAATTTGTTTATGAAATGTGTCATGGCAAGAAGTTATTAACAAGTCAAAACTGTCCCTTATCCTAAACTATTTGATGGTAGAATGTAGGAAGTAGGTAGATTTTTTATATCTAGGCTAACTAACTTAATGCATAAAATTATGAGTCATAAAAATCTGGAATATTTTACAGAATTTTCCAAAAGATATGGATAAAATTTAAATATATTGTTTCTCAAAGACTGAAATGAATTACAGAAATTCTCATCATTCTGTCCTCTTCTTTATTAAATTACCTAATTAGGCCAAACCGGGCAAACCCTAATTAACCCTATGACTAACCAAGTGCTAGTCTGGAAAAGTCCTATTTTTGTCTGAAATATTGCTGCTCAAATATCATATAATTTCAGTAGGTATGAAATCTCGCGTGCTCAAAAAATTCAGTCGCGGCTCGCCAAGTAGATATATTCCATGCCTGACCAAGTGGCTGGCACTGACTGACACAGACACTAACTTTGGGCCTTTTAACCCAATTTGGGATATTGGGCAAACCTGAAATTACAGGAAAAAATTATACCTAATTTCACAGGTTTTTTATGATTGCATTTTAGAGTTTCCTATTAAAATTCCACTTTTACCTTTAGTTCCTGAGGACCCAAAAATATCAAGCACAAGCAGTAATGTTTCAGTCTCAGAATTTCAGATCATTATCTGATTAAAGAATTAATTTAATAATACTAATAGTAGCCTATAACAGCTGACACTGACACTCTGACACTGACAGCAGGCCAGCAGCAAGACTTTAGTGAAAAAGACAAGTTTTTCAACTCTGCCCCCGCATCATTTTTATGAAAATCAACAAGTAAATGGCTTGCACTTACGACTTGCCCATGCCTCCACATGCTACAATTTTTGGTAGAATCTGCTTTTCCAGATTGATAATAATGCTTAAAAAGGATGTGTTAGGCCTATTCAAAAATTCCTTCTGATTTCCTCACTCCTCAGTCGTTACTCGTTAGGTTATAATTAGGTATATAAATGATTGAAACAAAAGTTCTCCAATAAAATTTAATCGTACCTACTCACAGATTAGTTGCGACCCACAACAGACACCAGGTAATTGTTATTAATTCAAGTTATTCAACTATCCGTCGCCGATACGACCAAGAAGAGGGAGAAACCCATGAAACTACAAACACCAGGCACCAGCTATAACTCTGGTCGCAGACTGAACTCTCATGTTCCGGCCGCCAGGAGGTCCGTGATTATTGAACGGTCTGCAATTGTGCAGTGGTCTCTTGAACGAAGTCCGCAAAAAAAGTTGACTAATGTAAAAAAAATTAAAAACGTATATCATAGATATCACACAAATAATTTCTTTTTCGACTAAACATTACACGATGAAAATTTAAAATTTAACTAGGTTTAGTTTATTCATAGGGAAAGGTTATTACTCATTAAAAACAATGCAAGCTTCGTAAACAAGGATAATTCCAGGCTTGAAAGTCCTGTGAAGAAAGATTAGAGATTATGAAGCTTCCAAGCCTCTGTTATTGACGTCTGTTATGAAGCAAACATGTATATTCATGGTTTATACAAGGCCCCAGAAGGATTTCTAGAATTTGAAACAAGAACCAACACCAAGGGCCAAGGCTCTGAACTAAAAAACTGCGTTGCAACTCATCCACGCGACAACATTTCTTCTCGCTCCGAATCACCGACATGCGGAACGGCCTCCCCAATTACATCGTTGACGCTCCGCTCATATAAGCGTTCAAGAACAGACTAGATAAAGCTATGGAGAAATAAATGTTCAGACTTAAAATGCCTAGCACCATAACGAACCCTGTGGAAATCTAGTAAAAATTACAAACTATCGACGGTTTGGAAAAGATCCGGTAGAATGACCTGTTTTTAGATCTCCTGTGGACGAGGCACGAAAAGTGCAGGAATCTGCGACAGGCCACATCAGGCACTGTTCTTCAGCGCCGACTTCACTATGCTATATATTATATATAAAGCCCAGTCCAAATACTCAAACTTATCGTCAGTCTTGCATGTCATGCCAGGTTTGACTTTGACCGACAAGACTGAGCATGTGGAGTGTTTGACCTCCCACCCGTCATGCAAGACGGGTGGGCGAAGTTTGAGGTTTGACAAACCTGGAAAAGATGGACGGACGAGTACTTGGGGTTCATGCAAGACTGACGATAAGTTTGAGTGTGTGGACGGGCAACCGAGGTCAAACTTTTACTCTATCGCAGTGTGAACTGATGTTGAAAGGTGTGACATTGTACTTCGCTAGCTCTAGTTTTTTACATCAAAATGTCATCACATGATATCAGATACAGGTCACACGATTTCTTTTTTGAGTTTATCGAATTATATCGTAGTTTCCTTTGTTTGTGGAAAATTCAATCAACACCTACAGTGATAAGAACAAGAGAGCACATGCCTATGCGATATTGATTGCTAAGTGCAAGGAAGTTGATCCTACAGTGAACAAATACATTGTAACGAAGAAATAAACTCTTTTCGTACGGTTTATCGAAAAGAATGTGCCGAAATGAAGTCGTCAATGCGGTCTGGTGCTGGTAGGAATGCTGTCTATCAACCCTCATTGAGGTATTGGAGGCTGATACTACCTCCCCCATTGCCGAGAGCGCACTAAACTCAAATAAAATTTGAATAGTGTGGACGCTCGTCAGTCTTCCGTCTTGTCGGTCAAACTTTGGCATACCATGCAAGACTGACGATAAGTTTGAGTGCGTGGACAGGGCTTAATAAAGTGCAACAGTTACGATTAAGTCATCATAAATCAATAATTAACTATTATTTTCAAAGAATATAGTATTATCCGTTATGAACAGATCGATATTGATATTACAGAGGGCCTCATTTCTTAATGAATTGATTCAATTATTCACATTTTTCCTAATTGCATAGATTTTGACAAAACAAATCTGTATTTTTTGTGACACCACTGCATCTCTCGTTGACGGAACTCAGACACAATCTTGGCGGAGTGATCTTTTGGCCTCTTATTTTATTATTATTAGGTTTATTATTATTTTTAGGTTTATTGTATTATTAGGAAACGAAACGATAATTGCGTCCCATATTCATTTAGCATTCAATTCTGACTGTTTTTTTTTTTTTTTTTTTTTTTTGCTTGAGCACATTCTAATATTCTCAAACACATTTCAGCACAATTTTCCTAAGATATCCTTGAACAAAATTACATCTTGAAATTTATGTCTAAAAAATATTATTGTATCTAGGAGTAGCACGAAGCTATAGTTATCATATTCAATATTCGGGTTGAAGTTGACGATATGAACGCAGGGTTAAGCACAGCTATATTGGAAGAGTAAATTCCGGGTTCGAGACTCACAGCTAGCTGCTTTAATCTGCTATCTCTAAAATACGTCAAAATTGGCCTCTCACATTATAATATTTCTTATTTATATATTATTTTATATCATTTCATGTTATACATATATATATGTATTTTTTAATTTGTCAGAAGAGATCACATGATAATTGAGTGCAATATATTTTTCATTTTCTTCTCGAATCTAGTGCAATTTTAAACTACTTTCTTGAGAAGAATCTATCAATATAGAAGTCGAGTGCGGCTATGGTTTCATGTGCAGGCATTTTGGCGGTACTGCAGCCTGAAGCCGAAGTTTGCGGCATCGCCTGTTTCGTTGCTATCCGTCACAACGTACATGACGAACGGTTGAATATCGGCTGTAAAAGAAGAAATTATAAAATTTTGGTAGTAAATGTGTGTTTTTCAGGTACTTGGTTTCAATTAAATTGCTATGTTCACTGAGTAGCAAACAACGTAAAAACTGTCTGCTGCTGCCATTCCATTTAATTTTTTCGTTCAAGATTCTCACAAACAATCACTATTTCGGGAAAGGTGATTCCAGGCATAAATAGTTTGCGCATATTTTTCTGGACACTCACACAACAACCACTTGATTATTTAATTATTCAACACACTCACAGACCACCACTTATTCGGGAAGCTAATTATTTAATTATTTAAGAGACTCACAGTCCTCCACTTGATCGGGATTCCAATTATTTAATTATTCAAGAAACTTACAGCCATCCATTTGATTGGGGAAACCAATTATTAAATTATTAAAGACACTCACAAGAATAGAAGTGAATAGAATAGAAGTGTCGGCACTGAAGAAATAGGCCCATGGCCTGTTGCCGATTCTTGAATTTTTGGAAACCAATTATTAAAGACAGACACTCACAAACCACTACTTGATCGGGGAAACCAATTATTTAATTATTCAAGACACTCACAGACCACCACTTGTTCTGGAACACCTATAATTTAATTATTCAAGACACTCAAAAACCACCACTTGTTCGGGGGGACGCCAATTATTTAAATATTCAAGACACTCACAGCCATCCATTTGATTGGGGAAACCAATTATTTATATAATTATTAAAGACACTCACAGACCACCACTTGTTCGGGGAAGCCGAGGCCGCAGAACCTGTCCGCCATGACCGAGACTCCCGCGGTGTCCACGTACTCCCCGCTCGGGATAAGCACGTAGTCCGCTGAGCAGTTAGCAGTGCCCGTCAAAGAAGCCGTTTCGGTTCCTGACAATATTTAAATTTTATTACAAAAACAGGAGGAAATGTTATTCAAAAATGTAAAATCAAGAAAAATGCAGAATAAATTCAATTAGTTAATTTGCAATTGAAACATACTAATGATATAAGAAAAATAGCATGCTATGGTTTCTCTTCTAAATATTAATTTAACTCAAGTGATACGGTTCTTAGATTACAGTTTCTAGCATTGCTAACTTCGGGGCCACAGTTTCTCACCTATCAAAGTAGGACTTAGTCCTTGGGCATCCCCACTGATGCCGAATGTGTAAGGGTTAGTTGTTACAGTGTCACCCTTGGTCCAAGATATACTGCAGTATCCTGAGCGCGACGCCACGCAAATGCCGTAGCGCAGGTTATTCAAGTGAAGAGAAGCTGAGGCATCCGCTGCAAGAACCAGATATATACATAAACTCATCCTCATTTTTCAGTTACATAGATGCACGAATGTAGAGGTTTTAAGGGTGGACTTAATGGGCGCCTTGCATTCGATTCTATAGACAATTCTTACTGTGGTTCCCACTAGTTATTATAATAAATTTTAAACGTTAATGAATGTAAGTTTAAATTATTTACAATATATAAATTTCCAATGGGCTTACAATGAATTATTATCACTTTCTTATATTGATTAAGTCATTGCCCTTTAGCCGATTCCCAAGCACATGGTCGCCTCACTGATGAGTTAAGCTAAGAAGACTAATTAACTAATTAAGCTAAGAAGACTAATTAACAAATTAAGCTAAGAAGACTATTTATTAGTTAATACGCTATATTAGTGTAAATTACCAAACGGCACTCGCCTATTTGGGCCGCTGTAGGTTGTACGTAATTGAAGCTCTCGACGATACCAGACGAGTTGGTGTAGTACTGTGTGCAGCCTTCAGGAGCTAATATGAAGTATGATTTATATTTTACTTGAGGAAACTTTTTTTTTCGAGAGAATGTCTTCAGTTAAACTTGCAGGCCCTTTCCAATAAACCAAAATTTTTGCAATAAAGTCGGGCAAATTAGAAGAATATTGTTATCAACACCTACTAATTGTTAACAACATTTAAAAGCACTGAACTTCAGTTAAGCACAATAAGATAAAACAGCGCAAATCTACGAGCATTTGACGTAAATTTATTTCATGTGTTGAATATTTTCACACTTTTCAACATTATATCAAGAATATTTCCATGGATATGCAGTAAAGAATTTTCGAAATTCTTACACTTCTCTGTGAAGATTTGCTTGGTGTATAATTTCCAATTTGAAAAAAATTAATAACTAAGAAACAAAGTGCAGAGGTTTACTAGATGCGTTAGACGTTTGAATTTAAGTGAAGATCTTGCAAGTAATAAAATCACTTGACTGCTTAAATGGCAAGTTCATCAAAAATTAAAAAAAAATAACCAGATACTTCACCATTTCTTGAAAAGGAAAACGGTTCGGAATGAATTCCTTTGTTTTTTTAAATTTTTGGAGATCTTGCAAGTAATGAATACCTTTATATGGAGAATTGCAGGCGATCTGATCAACCTTTATGTTCCAATTTCTCTGTGATGAGGTGATCCCTGTGTCGATGTTGATGGTTGGGTTGCCTCCGTTGGGATCAACATCCACGTACACTGTCGATAAAAGTGTTGTAAAAAAGTCTCACTGTGTTTGCCTGTGTTGCTGCTACACAAGAATGGAACACTCACTGTGTTTGCCTGTGTTGCTGCTACACAAGAATGGAACACTCACTGTGCTTGCCTGTGTTGGAGCCACACAGTTTTGGGATCGTTGCGTCATTGGCTGATCCTGTGATGGTCATGAAGTCAGTTTCGCACACGCCGTTCACGTTCGGCGGCTCCAGCTCAAAGCTCACAAAGTCCAGCCTCAGCTGGCATATATTGTTGTCCAGCAGCTGGACTGTTGTGACGCAGTTGCTCACGGTCGTGTCTGAGCTGGGACTGCTGGGGTTAATGAAAGATGATCCATTGCGGGTTGTAGTTTCTCCGCATGTTTGAGTAACTGGAATAAAAATCACGTAAAATTACTATTTAGTGTATTCTTTTTACCAATTTAGCAACAGGCATTTTTTTATGTCAAATACTTTTCTCTGTCGGAGTAGGATCAACATCGGTAAAGAAGAAGTGCCTTTTCACTTATACGAGTCATACAACTATCCATTAATTTCTCAGTCATTCATCTCTGAGTAATAAAATTAAAGATGTGCGATAATTCATCTCAATGTACCCACAGTACTCACTTTAAATCACGATCATACTTTTTTACCACAGTACTAGTAGTAATAGTTACCCCTCACCCTCAGCTAACCACAGTAGTAGCTCACAAACATCCATTATTATCTTGACTAAATTTATGCCGGCCGTGAATAAAACTTTTACTCTGACCGACAACTAAGTACAGACAACTGCACTATAATTTAATCTGACCGACAATTTATATACGAAAATAATTATATATAAAAAATGTTCTCACATAAGCAGCAGACTCCGAAGCCCCCCGCGCAGGTGCCTGAGGCTGTGCCCCCGAGCTGTGGGCAGCTACTGGCAGCTTGACACACGCCCGTTGTGACGGTCGTTGACAACGTCGTGCACTCGTCAGCCGCAACCGAGATGAATGTGAACGGGAAGAGGACTTGTGCCGTAGAGATGGGGGACAAATTTAATTTAAGATAAATTTTAAATACTTTAACAACTGCAATGAGCGGGACGATGACTTGTGCCGCAGAGATGGGGGAGATTTTAATTCTTTTTTTTTATATATAATAAGTTTTAGATACTTTAGCAACCGCAATGAACGGGAAGATGACTTGGGCCGTAGAGAGGGGGGAGATTTTAATTTATTATATATAATAAATTTTAAATACTTTAGCCACCGCAATGAGCGGGAAAATGACTTGTGCCGCAAAGAGGGGGGACAATTTTAATATACTTTAGCCACCGCAATGAACGGGAAGATGACTTGTACCGTAGAGGGGGGGAACGATTTTAATTTTTAATTCAAAATAAATTTTTGATACTTCAGCAACCGCAATGAGCGGGAAGATAACTTGTGCCGCAAAGAGGGGGAACGATTTAAATTTTTAGTTTGAAATAAATTTTAGATACTTTAGCAACCGCAATGAGCGGGAAGCTGACTTGTGCCGCAGAGAGGGGGAACAATTTTAATATTTAATTTAAAATAAATTTTAGATACTTTAGCAATCGCAATGAACGGGAAGATGACAGGCGCCACAGATAAGGGGGTACAATATTAATTCATTATACCCAATAATTTTCTGGATCTTGAGAAGCAATCGCAATGAACGGTCGGGTTCTTCTCCGCCCGCACAAAAATTAATGGGAAAATGACTGACCTCGCAGAAGGAGACGATCTTAATTTATTTTAATTTAATGAAGACGATTTTACATTATGTTTTTGATAATTGATGTTTTTAAGTTGTATGAATGCTACCAGTTTTTTCATTAATATTATATATAAAAAATTCTAGCGGAAATGGTTGTCGCTCATTATCATGACCCTCGATCAAGGCCTTTTTTATTGTTTTATTGTTTACTTCAAATTTTGAAAATTTTTTGTTTTAAGAGTAAACAATCCGGGATTTTTTTAATGAAATCACTTTGTGAATATGAGACCGGAAGTAAAGCCTCCAATGCTTCAAAAAAATTCAAAATTAATCATATTCTTCAATGGACAACCTCATATTCATTCTAAATATTAATAGATATGTTATTTATTTTAGAAATTCATGTTTCTGAATAATTTCTTGCGCCTTTAATGGAACAAATTTTTGAGATCTTTGAATTCAATTGATTTCTTATCATTTTCCGGGCAACCTGGGAATTTTATCCACCTGGACTATTCTTTTACTATTTTCACTTGCAGATCATAAAAAAATAAATATTTTACTTACAGATTTTATACAAGTAAATATTAATATATACAAATAAAGTTCATCATCATCGAGAAGTATATACTTACAGCGAGGATCTCTTTGTGTTTCAAGTCCGTCAGCAAAGATGCTCTGGTGGTCAGAAGAAGTTGTGATGTTCACGGCTCCTGGCTCAGCATTTCTCGACATCCCCATCACTAGCAGTGTCCACCATAGCTGTCATATGATAAGAGATGAATGACTGAGAATTTTCAAATTTTCAGAGAGAACATTATTGGTATTTAACCCTTTTAGACAACGTATCACACAATTCTACACAAATAAAAACAAACACAATTAAAACCACACGATTAAAACCAAACGAGATATTTTGAGTGATTCAATTATCATCGCTTTGGTATAAACGAAAACTATGATGCGTATCAAAGGTTCGGTTTCATTATAATTTAACGTGATAATTTGATTGAATAAATCATCAACTGGAAAAAATAAAAGTATGATGCAAACTTACCGCTTTCATGGCGTCCGATGTATTGATCACTTTATTCAAAATGTTAGCTAGATCAAAAGAAAAATTTGCACGTTTAAATTTGACAACTAATGATGTTCGATCTTTGGTTATTACCAAATGCTACCTTTTTGCATAGCTACGAAGAGCATTATATTTAAATATAAATTATTGCTGAATTAGTTATTCTTCTGTCTTTTAAATAAATTTCTAGAAGTACTTGTGAAATAGTATTAGTTTACATTCTGGAACAACAGATGCTGTTATGATAGCAATGTAGCAAGCCTATTTTGGCCGCCATGGTCATGCGGGATAATCGACTGCGAAGTTGTAACCTCTAAATTTGTGATTAGTAAGAACTTAATCTGCAGAATGTAATACAATTATTTTGTGTTTTATCTTTTATCGGATTGTGTTTTAACCGTTATCTGATTGCATAGGTACGAATGTAACTAAACCTGGTACTGTTATAAGTAACGTAGTAAAATCATGCAGTTTAAAAGGGGCTTATTAACCCTTAAATCATATGTATATAGTTTTCCATGTAGAACCGTTATCATTTGTTTTTTAGATTAATGATGCTTGCTAATGCCTCGACTGATGTCTAAGCAATATAAAATTTTTACAGTGATTTCCCAATTTATTTGAATAATTTTTTTTACGTTTTAAAAATTTGATATTTTTGTTTAGTGGCTGCTACAAATCGCAGGGCACACAGCCCTGCGATTATTATTAGATTATTTAATGCATCTTATTAATACAGTTATCAATTATTTCTGTTTTATAATAAATTTACTGCCTTATTATTCGCGCTGTGTTTTGTGGATATTCATATATTCGGTCTGCTCGATGCTAAGTCATTCCCCACGCTCACACCGAACTCCGCTTGCAAGATATATCTAATCTTCGCATTATACAGTGCAAGATGGCGTCATAACATTTGTAGTGTGACGTAATACCCTTCGTTTTATTCTTCAGCATCTTCTTTTATTCTTCAGTATCTTTTATTCAGTATCTTCCAGTTACTCGTATTCACTTTATTACCCTTTGATTTTATTTCTATTCTGTCAGTACTTATTTTATATTTTTACTTCTTCATATTAATCAGTAGCCCTTTTCTGCAATCAAACGTTTTATCTCGACTCTGACGGTAAACGCGGATAATTTGTTAAATAAAAATCGTTTCAATAGATATTTAAATCCCAGTTTATAATGATTTTCTGCTAATTCTGTTATTTTAATGCGTACTATTAAAATTTTTGCATGTTTTTAACACGTGGGATGCATTTAAAAGCCTCGCAAAACGTCCACGCGACCGACAGACCGGGCTGCTGTTCTCGAAATGGAAGCGAAGTAGGTCACAGTCTCGTTATTTATAGTTCGAATTGAATGGCTATTTGGCCACCTTTTAGAGGCGCGTTAATCGAATTTTCTAGAAGTTGATTGTCACTGCACACCGACGAAAGTTTGTTCCCGGGAACGTTAGCGGAGCGAAACTTTTATTTTTCAGATTGGTGCCTAAGAGTTGCGGCACCGAGCACTTCTGCAGATGTCGATCAGGGCCTAAACTTTCAAAAAAAGTTAAGACATCGTAAGTTTATAACCCAATCATTGACGGCCATTCAAGCCAAATCCCCCAATCATATAGACAATAAAATAGAGCGTAAGTATTTACGTTCACTTAGCGAGTTTTGAAAGTATGGCCCAGTCTCGGTGATTACTTCCCCGATAACACCCTTAGTGCTTGGCAGATTGATTGTTGATTCTCTACAATCACCACGTGCATTGTATACCCTGATTAACAAGAGTGTTTAGTATGTGACAGAAAAACAAACCTGCTGAGTACGGTAGGTACAGTTACAATTTTTCAGAGCCCCAAGAATTTGCGGAGCACTGACTTGAAAGGCCTTATAAATAATTGAAAGGCTTTGGGGTAATCGAAAGGCTTCAGAGTAATTACATGGCTTTATTTTTTCACCTGTTATTTTCCTTGTAAACAAATGTTTCAAGAAATTATCTGATGAGGCTGTATGTTGACTTTCGTAAAGAAGTACAAAATGTTGATGTTTAGGCTTTAAACTTTTATTTTGGTAAGAAGATCACAATTTTCAGTGAGAAATAATTTGACATTTTTACTATACTCTCGTCAAATATTTTATTTGAGAAATAAAAAATCTGGAATAAAAATAACATGTGAATGAAAAAATGAACCAAAGGTATTAAATATTCACAGGTGTACTATGTATAACATATAGTAATTGGAACCTGTATCAGTAATTGGTAATTATTTACATTTATTGTATAAAATTATTATTTTTACTAAGATATTTCCAGTTTGAAGTTTATTGTTTGGGTTTGTGTTAGTTGTGATTTTATTTGGCCGGCTACAGTTTCCCAGCATTTGGTACAATGGTGTGGGCAACATTCCGCATTTCTTCAAATCCACATTTGAAGATAGAAGCTAACTCCAACCTCTAGTCAGATTCAGAGACAGCCCACATCCTCAATAAACAAATAATAAATAGATTCAGAGACAGCCCACCAACGAGAGAGTCAGGGAGGGACTCCTTTCGACTGCCGACTACGCCACACTTGCATTTTTTTCGTCCGCTTTATCGTCACTACTATGGAGTGAGACTTCCAGCGTGCGTCTCGTCTGGAGGTGGCGGCCTCGAGGTGTTGGGACGATCTGGGGACTGCGGCAACTGCTTGTCTTCTTACGGAGGACGGGTCTCTGCGAGAGCTCAAGAGAGAACCGGATGCTGCCGAATAGAATAGAATAGGAGTGTCGGCACTGAAGAAATAGGCCCATGGCCTGTTGACGATTCTTGGATTTTCGAGACTTGATTCACAAGGGATCCGGCCTTTAGAACCCGATCTTTCCATAACTGACGATTCATTGAGATAGCTGCTGGACTTATTGCCTGGTCCGTAATTTGCTAGGCATTTGCAGATTGGTTGTCCGTCACTAAAGCTCAGGGTGTTGTGGAAACTTGTAGCCCCGGCTGGTTTCCATTATGGATAACCGTCTCCCCTTCACCACTCTCAACCCAAATAATAAAACCCTTCTTGTTTTCCAACTGAATATATGTATATATTCCTTAGAAAGCCAATTTGTTCTATAAAATCTCTTATTTTTAAGATTGCTTTTTATATATCAAGAGCATAGCTGCTAGGTTCGTAAATTTAAGCATTTCATAATATGTTAGGCCCTAATATTCAGCTTGTTCTAGTTTTTTATTTTGGCTTTCGTTACATTAAAATCAGTTGGCATTTGTTTAGACAGGATGGGCTGCACGGAGCTTAGCGTGTCAGTTTCTCTGTGTCACCTGGCTGGTTTACACTAGCCAGGTGAAGCTCCTGCTCCCGATTCAGAGGACTTCCACCGGGCAGCAGCTCGCGCCAATCGTCTATATTCTTTTTTTTTGTGTTTACTCGACACAAATTAGATTAAATAAATTCAGTTAAATTGAATGGTTTTCTTTACATTATTTTCTAGAAGTGTAATTCAACCTTTCCTTCCACCGAAAAAGGAGGTCACGCTAAAGTTTTGTACAATTATTACGATTTGTCTTCGACAGCGAAAATTTGTCAAAATTTATAACTTAAATTTGTTTGCGACGGAACAATCAATTTCGAGCCTGAAGCCTGTATTGGATCTTTCGCCTGTCTCATCGCCGTCTGTGGTGACGCGTAGAGTCATTGGCACCGCCGATGCTGAAAGTTATTATGAATTTTAGAAAGAATTGCAAGGTGATGCAAATAATTATTAATTTTAGCATGAATTGCACTGTGATATGCTTAAGAAAATAATACATGTATAATGAATTACATGACGCTGCAAATTATGAAAAAATTTTGCGGGAAGTACATGATGCAGCGAATAATGATAGATTTTAGCATGAATTACATGATGCTGAAAATTAGGAAAAAATTTAAAAATAATTACATAATGCTGCAAAAAATTTTAAATTTCACCAAAAATATGCGTAATATTGTAAATTATTTGAGAGGTTAGTAGGAAGGTTTAACATAATGCTGCAACATATGATGAATTTAAGCAAGAATTACTTGAATCCTGTAAATAATTATCTATTCATAATGATGATGAATTGCAAGAAAAATTTTGATTTTATGAGCACACTGCAGAATTGAATTACATTGATGCAAGTTTACTCAACCTAATCAATGATCGAAGACTTGATAATTTCCATTATTCACTACGAGAACAAATTCTACAGAAATACTATTTGTAAAATTGTCAAGCTAGATTGAAATATTAATGTTTAATTTTTCGCCGAATGAGGAAGGTTGATAAAATGAATTATGTTCTCACAAATAAAGATGCACTAGCTGAGATATAAGTGTAATGTTATAAGTGTAATGTTATAAGTGTACTTTTATAAGTGTAATGTTATAAGTGTAATGTTATATACTTGGTATTCTGAATCTGGTATGCTATTTCTATGTTATTCTATGCTATTTCAACGATAACGTTGAATTAAATTTTGAATCAAAGCCTTAATTGGGGTATCCTCGCTGTTTTTATATCATACATTCCTCCACATCTCTTATTTTTAGGCATATTCACCGAAACAACGCGTAGAAACATTGAAAAAAATCAGCCATTTATTGTAAAAATTAATTTACCATGTGAAACTGAAACTTCAAATTAAAAATTAAAAAAATTAAAATTATTGTTGTTATCAAAATTAAAATTGTCAAAATAACAACGAAGCTGGCTACGATCACATACATTGCACGGAATCGGGGAAGCTCAGTCCGCAATATCTATCACTAGAGCCAGCTGGACTGGGGGGCTTGAACTGTCCGCCCGGGATGAGTACGTAGTCTTTAGTGCATTGGTCGCCTTTCCTGCTTCCGGTGTCCGGGTTTCCAACTGCAAACAGAGGTCAGGATTCAAGCAATTGTAAAAATTACAATGGTGCTGAGAGTCTTTCTCGATACAGGCCGTTCCTAAGTAATTTTTAATCCGATTATGCTAAGCTTTCACAAGTTAATATTACTTCTGATTCAAATAAAGGTAGCTGGATTGAATTCATTATACATCGTACAAGTAAGAGTATTGAGGGTTACTTTATTAGTTTTTTTTCATCTAAGAACAACGTCAGATTTGGAAAGCATTCAGGTTGTCGAATAGTCGCATGGAAAGTATACAAGAAGTCCAACAAATACTGAAATTCTTCCCATCCTATGAATGGGAAGAATTTTCCGAATATACCTTCAATAATTTACACAACTGATGGCAGATAAATTTGAATCAAAAATCCTTAGTCAAGATATAAGGAATGACTAATCCAATAGTGAGATGTTCCAAATTGAGTGTTATTTAACAGCCGAATACCGTAAAAAATAACGCTCCAACAAGTTTTTGTAATTTAATTCACTCGGAATCAATATTTTGAACTTCTAATGACAACAAAATGTCACGAAAGTAACTGAATTTTCTGCTGCAAATAAATTTTCTGTTTTTATTTACTAATTTGCAAAGAATGGTTTATAATTGAATAGTGAAATGGAGCATAAGTGAGTAGACTTATTTATCAATAGCAACTTGGTTTACACGCAAACGCTCAAATATACCAACGCTAGATGCCAATGAAAGTTTTTCTTTATATGCATAACTTGATAGTGTAGGTACTTAAGAGTTTCGCGAAAAGGAAGGTTTAACCTCTGAAATTTTAACCACAATAAAAGTTAAGATTAAAAGTTGGTGAGTTCAAATATGAGATAGAAGCATGCAAGTGAGCTGATGTTTCCTCTCATTCAAAGTAGGATATTTATCCCCGTAATAAATCTTGGAATACGAGAAAAATTTATTTTTGTTCGATTTCTTCTCCTTCGAGGAAGGACATTAAATCTCGGAATGCACGTCGCCTATGAGGAAAAATTATTTGTGTTCTAAGTCTCCTCAATCGAAAAAGGATATTTTTTGCACTTGAGGAATCCTGGACTTCGAGAAAAATTAATTTATGTTCTAATTGATATTTACTTTGGACCGTATCTGTTTTGGCATCTCCGGACATGATGAAAGCGTAAGGTGATTCAGTTTGCGATGGCGTCCAAGTTATCTTACATCCCCCCATACGAGCCAGACACACCGCGTAGTTCAGATTGGCCAAATGACGCTGCACTTGATTACTGTCTGAAAAAAGTAGATAATTCATTTAATAACGTTGGCTTATGACTAGAATGTCATTAATATTATTGAGAAATCAACAAGTGGATAATTACCTCGTAACTACTCTGAAAATGCAACATGTGAATGTTGAATTATCTTCAAATTTTAACAAAAACATCATGGATAATTCCCTAATTCCCTCGTTACAACATAATAAGCAGTGGCATATGGGAGGAGAATATTCTTAATATTTAAATAAAATCGCTGTGGGCAATTTTCTCGTAACTACACAATAAACGCAGGCATGTGAATGTTCAATCCTATTTATTTTGTCTCCCACGTATCTAGCTAGCCCTGCAAGTCTCATTTGTTGAGAAGGAAATAAATGTCCCCCGGAAAAATAAAGCTAAGCATTATGGATTTTCGATGTCATCCATGCATGATGAATCGTACGTTTGGGAACGCTAGTTGTCTTAAGATGTGACATTATTCAAAAATTAAGCTAAACCCAGTTATCAGAGTTCCTAAATGTGAAAAAGTTCTGGAATTGATTGACTGTAAATAATTGTTACTTTGGAATTTGAAATTCTAAGCGCTAGGCTGAATAAAAATGTTTCTTTTTCTTCCCATTTAAAAAAACAACATTCACAGACCTATTTCAATAATATTTGTTGGCTTCCGGTAGTTGAAGCTCTCGACGACGCCCGTGAGTTCAGAGTGGTACTGTAAGCAACCATCGGGAGCTGTAACGTTAAGAAAATTAATTATTTTGTTTTCTGAGTTATGCATTTATGCCACTAAGTGCTTCGGGATAATTTAAATGTTATTGTTAGCTGTGCCTAATTAGCATATCAAATTTCTCAACATGAACTCATGCCGATTTTCTTTATGACGTGAATCTAATTACTTATATCAATATGACTCTAATGTTTTTATTCAATTGATTTCAATCAAACATGTATTTAAAGTCATATAAATTGAAAAATATATAAAAATTCTCGCATTGGAAAGTTTCCAAAATATGGTTCGAACTACAAAATCGATTCGACACAAGCCCAAGTTTGGTTATTTAAGACGTTACCTTTGCTTCCGATGTGGCGTTAAAGTGATTCGTTACATCATTGTTTGGATAAAGTTTTTCAGTTAATTAATGGTAATGCAGTGGCTGAAATACCTTTTTTAGGAGAGTTACAATCAATCTGCGTGATGATGATGTTCCAAGATCTTTCAAATTCAGAGGCTCCGGTTTTCATAATAATCTTTGGGCTTCGCGTTGGATCCACATTCACGTAAACTGAAATTAGATATTAGAATTGGTTTATTTCTATGAACCGTAGGCAAAACTATATAAGTGTTGATTTTATTCGCAGATAAACTTCAATTTAAATTTTTAATTTGATCCTAATAATGACAATGTTAGTTTACGCTGGCTTGAATTGAAAGATGAATTTAAATTGAAAATTTTATTAATAATTTTAATGCCAAAACATAATATTTTCCTTGAAAACATGTTAAATTAACACTTCTAAACCTAAGCTGATGAATGCGAATTGATGAAACACTATGCAAATTTGAAAATAACAATCACTTTAAAAACTCTCGATCAATTTTAAAAAAATTAGGACATAAGGGTAAGACATTTCTTAAGGACAACTTACTATGCTTAGGACAATTTGTTCAGGACAAGACATTAATTAACTTACTGTGCTGTCCGGAGTTCGTCCCACAAATTCTCGGAATATCCGCATCATTGGCAGTCCCGCTAACACTCAAATAGTCGGTGTCGCAAACGCCATCTAAGTTTGGCTGGGCCAGAACAAACTTCTGCAGGTCCAAGCGCAGCTGACAGATGTTGTTACTTATTAAGGCGACTTCGATGCTGCAGTCACCGGACGTTTTATCCACGCTTGGGTAGCTTGGGTTGACGAAACTTGTGATGTTAGTAAGTGTGCTGCCGCCGCACGTACGACTGACTGGAAACGTTATAAGGGATAAAAATTTTTGGGTGATAAATCAGAGTTCGGTTTAGTTTTATCATTATTTTTCAGTTCAATCATAATAAACGAGTACATTAAATAAGAGGACCTTAATTAGATTATTTAGCATTGGTTTCTGTAACACCATTGAAATAAACTTATTTTATAGCGTTTATGGGAACTTTTTCACAATCAAAACTATAATAATTTCATCTATTAAATTAATGTTAAACTATTTAATTATTAAATAAGTTAAACAGTTACTCATCATCAAAGTTAGTGCGATACAAGACTCACAGGTACAGCAGAAGCCGTAGTTTGTATCACAAGAGTCAGCGCTGGTGCCGTTGAGAAGAGCGCAGTCTTGTCTGGAGTAGCAGTAGCCCTGAGGGTGCTCAGCGAGGCTTGTTGTACACACCTTTGGCTCTATCGTCAACAACGAGGCTCTGATGACTAAAACGTGAAAGATTAATAATATTAATCATCTATTATAATTCTATGTTAAAATATCTCACTGCACTACACTGAAATATAAGCTAGGATTGGAACCACAATTTGAATCTCTTTCAATCGTACATAAATTTGTGAATATGAGATATTTGAACAGGATAGAAACTATGTAAATAAAGCGCCTATTTCCAGGTTCCTGTCTTTATTTAGTTCTTGACATTTTTTAAATTAGAATGAGCTTTGCTATATTGCGAGTTTATTTACTCAGATATTTTGTCTCAAATGTGCGACAACTGTATAGGCTCATGCGATATTGATTTTATAAAATATTTTAATTTCTTTTCATGTATTACGCGTGAACAATATACACTGTTATAAAAACGGTGAAAAAACGGTCCCACTGGCATTCCACTAGTGGCCGGTTGCCCCGTGAAAATAAACTGTTCCGCCGTTTTTATCAGATGTTTTATGAATTTCTAGTACTAAATTAGAATAAAAACAACGACACGGTGTTTCTTTTCACGTGCCGACCTGCCACTGAAACGCCGGTAATACCGTTAACGGTAATTTTTCTAATTGTGCAAGAAGATTGGAAGACGGTTTTAATGTCATTCACAACTTAATCTAGTTTAATCCAGCCACTGTCGTTGCATTCTATTTTTACATGTTAAGACTGCCGGGGTGAGGAGAGAAATTACTTACGAAGTCATCCGCGCTCGTGATCAAAACTTTATTCTTCCATTAATTTTACTAATAGATATTCTTTTTCGTAATAGTAACTATAATTGGTGCTCATTATCAGTGTTATAAAGCAGAATAGTGATAACAAAAGGATTTTCCCAAAGCTTATTATCACGTAAATCATCCCAAACATAACTAAATCTAACTTATGAGGGCTACCAAAGTGACTTGTTAGTCAGATACATGCTTCTTTATCCACTTTAGTTACATGCCCATACACCTACACCCACCCTCCACCGCAGCCTGCGCTGCACTAGCGTAACAATAACGCTGCCTCTACTCTGTATCAGCGGTACCGTTTGACCTGAGGTCAACGCACGCTCGGCATGACCTTCTCGCTGGGACTAGAATAATTAAGTCACTGCAATTCAATGCTTTAATAAGATATCAATATCCTATTTATTACTAGCGTAACAATAACGCTGCCTCTACTCTGTATCAGCGGTACCGTTTGACCTGGGGTCAACGCACGCTCGGCATGACCTTCTCGCTGGGACTAAAACAATTGAATCACTGCAATTCAATGAAAAATCAGTAAATTATTTCAGGATGCTTATTAAATTTTCGATGCAATGTAGTTCCTTTCTATTTATGCATGATTTCTACATTAAATTTATGAAAATTTTTAACAATTAATCGCTTTATAAAAAATCATAAATCGCAAAAATTAACGGGAAATAAATGCTTTGCCTGGTAAATGCAACCTGGACCTGGCCCGGGTTAGAGAAGTTTCTAAAATAGGACAGAATGTCAGGCTGAAATATAGAATGCATTTATGCATTACACCGTTGATTAAACTGTTTTGAAGTCTTCCCGACCCGTAATATTTTATTTTAAATAAGGTTGTCACAGTAAAAAACATTTGATTCGCCGATTTATAATAATATTTATCTCCAGGAATGTAAGTCCGTTTAAAATTTAATTTTATACCACCATTTCATAGTTAATTTAGCAAATTTTGTTCCTAATCATTTATATATATCCGTGCAGCAAAAATTGATTGTTCCCATCATCTATTTTGCAAAAAATATTTAAGAAAAGAAGCAAAATAAATTCGCGCGTGAAGGCTTCAATATAGCATTATATCAAGATGACACCCGGAACCTCTCCTAGAAAGCGCACTTTTTGCAACCAATTCTCTTATAAAAACTTGATGCCCCAGAGGCAGCAGCTAAAAGGCTGGCTTATTGATTCGGTTCTTGATAAATATGAGCGTTCGAGAGCAGACCTTCAACTAGGAAGTTGCAATCAAGGTTCACCGAGCTCATACGTTGAAGTCATATTTATATAACTTGATATATTTATGATATATAAATTTATTGTTATTCATATATATGAAGCATAGAAAATAACGGAAAAGATTCAACAGCGTTTTTCATTGGAAACACGCGAGATCCGGATATTTTCAAGCAAGAGTTTCACTCCATTACTCTTCCTCATTTAAAAGTCTGAATGTATAAATATTTTCAATTTTAAATGAGTTTTGACGCATTTTTATTGTAACGGCAGATTTGTATGTTCGCATAAATGGAATCAAGAATTTATACTTCTTACGTACACCTCAACTTTTTTCTTTTACAAGTAAAAGTAAATAAGTTAATTATAATCTTGGCCAGATACTTAAGTAGCTTCCGTCAATAATACACGAGTTAGGTCTCGGGAAATACTTCACTTAACTCGCCGATCTTCACTAAAAATCATATAATACTGAATCAGAATTATTTAGAGTACTGCTGAATAACGATGAAGCTGCTACGATCCATTTAGAAAAATATATTTACGTTTTGTTTATAAAATATTTATTTTCGTAGAAACTTAAAAGCGAAGAATACTCCACAAAAATTCAGCAAATCTCTATTGAAAACGTTTCGGAGACCAGCTCCATCGTCAGATCGATAAATCTAGAACACAAATACAGTCAGAAAATTAAAAAAGTTTTTCTTTTGACTCCATTAATTAATAAAGTTTTTTCTTTTGACTTCATACTTTTTTAATTTTCTGACTGTATTTGTGTTCTAGATTTATCGAACTGACGATGGAGCTGGTCTCCGAAACGTTTTCAATAGAGATATGTTGAATTTTTATGGAGTTTTCTTCGCTTTTAAATTTTTAGTTAATGTGCGATTCAAGCAATCTAGTGAGTTATTTTCGATTGAATGCTGGCCGCACAAGTGCAGTAATTAATGTCTTAAGGCTCTGAAGGTAGGATTAAATATAAACAACTCCATTGTTTGATTTTCTCCTCAGTATGTATTTACAGTATTTTATTTGTGCGGAAAAATTGTTGGCTAATTACTGAAGCCCCATTGTAGGGGCAAAGAAGTTGAAAAAAACTCATATAGCTATATTTTATGTATCTTTAACTGGTAAAGAAAATTAAATGATGAAAATAGCGAATTCAAGTCACTACCATATATAACAAGGAATTTTTTATGCAACACAATTCTATTGATATTTGTTTTAAAATATTTGAAATACACATAATTCTGGCATACGGATGTAGTTTGATTGTTATCAGGTTAAACCATCCCTCATGCAGATGTAAGATGCTTCTTATTATGTATATTCATATTCTATTATCTACTAAATGCTCAGAAGAGGAATTCAAGGCGCTGTAGTTAATATTAGATCCTATAATTACAGAAAAAGTGGTTAACTGACCAAAAAATCGAATAAATAAATAAATATCTTAACTATAACTACGCACACATTACCAAACAACTGGAACAAATGCTGGTCTCGTGTGATAGCTATACAAAGGAAACACAAAGACCTCTCATTGCAGGAAACATTTGAACATACAAATATTCTAAACAAATATTGAATATACAAATATTCATGACGAAACATTTGAATGTAAAAATGTTTCGTTTCTCAATTCAGACACACATTGAAAAATGTCTGTATAAATGAAATGAGCAAAAATCAATTGAAGTTTGAATTTCGTGTAAAAGTTTTGAACTTAGAACTGAGTCAAGCCCTAGAGAAAAATTATTTGGCATTATGTTAACAGAGCGAGTTTTCTCATTATGTTACCGAAAGCGACATTTATTTATACAATATACATTGTACATGTGAACTTCGGCTGCATATTCAAGAAATCAAATTTACCCTAATCATAAATTCAATGAACTCTACACATTTCTAAAAAGTATTCAGTGTACTGTTTACCATGATCATAAATTCGATGAACTTAACATATTTCTAAAAGGTATTCAGTGTAATGCAATGAATAGGAAGGGTATGCATGGAATTTCGATAGCGACGGGAAAAATTCATATCCAGATAATGCCCAACTTCCTTCTCTTTTGGAATCAAGAAACGAAGCCAGATCAAAAAACTGGAATCCTTAGAGATAGCAAGGCTGTAAAGAGTTAGCTGGGGGCACAAGTAGAAACTCCTTAAGACTTCGGTCGTAGACTTGTATGACAAGTATAAAAAAACTAAATACGAAGTCAGCCAGCGAAACTGCTGAGAAACAGAAAGTGTGAAAATACGAGATTTCAAATCGATAGAATTCAGGAATTTCTCCTCATGAATGTCTCCGTGATTTGCAAAAAAAAGGGCAGAGTGATGGATGCTCATTTTACGCAGCGTTATAAATTCACACGCGGAAATGATGAAAATTAAATCAGGTAATCAAAGCCGATTTTCAGTGTATCTACACGAAAAAAATGCTAAAAGAGCAGTGGATGGAACAATTTTCCGCGTAGTTAAAATTTGCCACGAGCAGGAATCAAAATTTCTAGATCCTCTGATTAAGACTGCCTTTCTATCCTACTAAATGCACTTTCAATTAATCGAAATAAAGTTGCTAATTGAAAAAATACAAAATTAATTCGCGAAGTCTTATTATCGTGTAAACCTTTCCTGATGATCCATTTCGTAACTCAGGTATATCCTGGATGTTCAAATCTCTACCATAAAATTAGCAGAAATTTATGGCGTTACAAAAATATAACCGTCGTTGAGGTTAGCACAAACTGTGCCGGAAGTTCAGAGCAAATCCAGCGTTGCGAATGTCGCCGTCTTCTGCCACGTCCGTGTTGACGTAGAGGCGGTAGGGCTGAGACGAGGCTAGGAGGAGCGTTAGTGTAAAATTAATAATTAAATTCTAAAAGTTATATTATAAATAAGTATTATATTATATTATTTATTATATTATATTATATTATATTATATTATATTATATTACCATATTATAAATAAGTGAAGGGTAGAATTCCACTTAATGACTACTGTCTCAATTTGCATGTGATGATCAACTTCGAAGCAATAATTCGCTCAGATATGCTCCAGCGAGATGAAAAGCTTTAACAATCAATCATGATTGAAATGTAAAGCAAGTCTAATCTATTTCAATTTAAAGGGAGAAACTCAAGGAGAAATGTTTCAAAGTAGGTTGGAGGTCAAACAGCTTTCGGCCTCCAGCTGAAAAGAATGAGGCCCCGTTCTGCATTTATAATTCTAACCCGCGCGCTAAAGTAGAAAGTTGATTTTTTTAAAGCGTAGCACTAGATCCTTTTCTTGAGAGCGTGTAAGAATCAACTAGATAGCGCACACCCGCTGAGCGATTGCAAGAGATGCAAACCACCAACTTTTTCAAGATAGTAAAATGACCAATTAATGGACCAAGGAATTTGTTAATCAAATTGGGTACAAGTCAATTGTGGCTGCATATAGCAATTGTTGACGGATAACGATTAATATGCAGCTAAATATAATCCCTTCTATTGCAGCCTCCTCAAAGCAATCAAAACTTTCACAAGCAGCCATACACTCTACAATATACCCACTCTCAATGATAAAAAATATGAAGTAATAAAGAAAGGAAAATTATGCAAGCTTTCGAAAATTTTTCTGATTACAATGTTAGCATGAGAAGTGACGCTGAGTGAATAACGTTGTACTCGTTTAAGAGAAATAAGCTCATATAACTTTGACCATGTTTATTTATACAAGTAAAACACTAAGATTTATATTTGAACTAGTCTTCCTCAAACAACTTACCTGGAAATTATTATTAGCCGCACAAAAAGCCTTGCGTGACAGTTAATTATGGAAAAACTTGAAATCATGACTTTACTGCGGCTTGAGTCGAACCGTAACCTTTATATCAGCAACCGCTGTTCGAACCGTAACTTTTGATTTGAATCGTAACCTTTTATATATGTCGTTACCGCTGATTCGAACCGTTACTTTTAATTTGAACCGTAACCTTTCATATCCGTAACCGTTGATTCAAACCGTAACTTTTGATTTGAACCGTAACCTTTCGTATCCGTTACCGCTGATTCGAACCGCGCCGTAACAATTTCGCCACGAAATGTCTTAAAAATTTAACTAATTCATTCTCGCAACATAAACTATTTTATACGTTCAATGATCGAGAGGAGTCCTCATAAATATTCGGTATTCACAAATTTATCAGAGAGTAATCATAAATATTCGGCATTAAAAAATGTATCATAAATGTAATCAAAAATAGTCTCCGTTAAAAATTTATCATAAATATAATATAATACTAAATAAATGATATTATAAATATAATATCATATATATAATCATAAATATTCATCATTCCCAAATTTATCATAAATATAATCATAAACATCCGTTATTCCCAAATTTATCATAAATATACTCGTAAATAATGGTCTCACTTCTGACGCGGGTGGGGAATTTTGTGCCGCAGTAGCGGTCTTCCTGCTGAGGATTGTCCTGAGCATCCTCGTAGATGCCCCCCGGGATCGTCACGTAATCCTTGTTACAGTGCGCCGGGCCGTACACTTGGGATAAAATTATTATCTTAGTATCGCTTAAAAATATATTAATATTGCATCATTAATATTGTAATATCGATAATATTAATGTTACATCATTGCAATATCATTGTCAGTGGCTGGAAAATGAACTAAAGTTACGAATGAAAATGATCAAAATGATGAAATGTAGAGAAGTATTGTTCAATATCAACACTGACGGCGAGGTTCTTTTCGTGATTTCAATTTTGAAATTCGAAAGCATTGCGTTGGAAGGTGATTCTTGAAGCGCTGAAAACGATTAATTTTGACATGTAATTAGAATACTTGAGAAAAGATTCTACAAATTAATTTGAAACGATGTGACACATAATACTTAGTAGCGACAAGTGGAATCAATATTTATTCACAATAAAATAGCAGGAAAAGTATAAATTATTCGTTGAAATTGTTGTTTACTTACTTGTTTCGAACGTCGATTTGTTGGCAGAAGCGTCGCCGGTGACCGTAAACGAGTATCCGAAGCCTTCGTTCGACGCTGTCCATGTGAGCTCGCAGTAACCAACTTTAGAGTTGATACACACACCGTAGTTCTGGTTCTGAAGTTGGAAAGTTTCTGCCAACGAATAAATAATAGTGATTTATTCGAAGATACTGTACTCAGTCCGCTGATTTTTACCCAATTCAAAGAATATGGAAGTATCATAACAAATGAATTCATTATATAAGAAGTACAACATGCATAATATGTGTCAAGTTATCTCATAAAATGTACAAAATATCTAATACAAAAATTGAACACGTACAGATGTAAGAATATGTAAGTTTCAAAACAAATAGATTCATTATATGTGTAGTACAACATGCATAATATGTGTAAAATTATTTCATAAAATGTACAAAATATCTAATGCCAAAATTGAAAACGTACAGATATTAAACTTCAATACTAATTACACAATTTAAAAAAAACTTCGCGCAGATTTACCTCCGGCAAGGGGAAGTGAGTCCCTAAAGTTTAGACTGCGTACAGTTCCTGAAGTTTGATTATAGAACTGAAGGCAGCCGGGTGGCGCTGAAAAAATTTGAACGCAATTAATAAGAGAAAATTACAGTATACTTTTGAGTTATGTTTTAGCAGAAAATTAGAGTAACATTTGTGTGCTAAACACAAAATAAGAAAGAGGCACTTGGATAATATTTCGGCTAATTATATCCTATACCTTTAGCGGAATCATATATGGCAAGAAGATCATCTTTATAAGTTCACTCACCGAGCTGTGGAGAACCACATGGTATTTGCGTGACTCTTATGTTCCACTGACGAGAACCAAAATCCGTGGTTGCGGTGTCCATGCTTAGCTCAATCGGACCTGAAGCCGGTTTCACGTTGACGTAAACTGTCACAAAAATTATTTATATGATTATTCAACATATTTGGAACATATTTGCGAAGTTTATAAGGAACTTTGCAAATTATGCTATTGAATTTATTACGATAGCTCGCCTCCTGCATCACAATAAATAAATAAAAAATATAAAATTGAACTAGGAGAGAGCTAGAATATATATAAAAAGCATCGCATCCCTCTGATATTTAAAAAAATTAAACTTTAGTGGTAATCATTTTTAAATCGCTATTCTTTCTCATAGATCTAAAGTTCTATTCGATTGTTTAATATTCAATTTCATCACATGCTAGTAAGTTTCTAGTCCAATTCATGCCCGGGAGAAATTAAAAATTATTAATCAAAATTTTATCGAAAAAGTCTTCAGATTGTCACTGTCTTATCAATCATGGTAAATACGATGCTGCACACTCATATCAAATAATCCTCGAAGTGCTTCTTTACATGCCACCCACCATACATGCACATGTCGTGGAGTGTTCTTGCACTAACCGTGCTGTCCAGTCAAGTCACTACACAGTTTGGGTACAGAAAAGCCTCTAATATATGCATATTATGAAGTATTGGTACACTAACCGTGCTATCCAGTCAAGTCACCACACAGTTTTGGTATAGAAAAGCCTCTAATATATAAATATTATGAAGTATTGTTACACTAGCCGTGGTGTCCAGTCAAGTCACCACACAGTTTGGGTACAGAAAAGCCTCTAATATATAAATATTATGAAGTATTGTTACATTAGCCGTGGTGTCCAGTCAAGTCACCACACAGTTTGGGTACAGAAAAGCCTCTAATATATAAATATTATGAAGTATTATTCCACTAACCGTGCTGTCCAGTCAAGTCACCACACAGTTTGGGTATAGAAGAGCCTCTAATACATAAATATTATGAAGTATTGTTTGTTACACTAACCGTGCTGTCCAGTCAAGTCACCACACAGTTTTGGTACAGAAGAGCCTCCAGTCACTCCGAGGAAGTCAGTCACACAGTCTGACGAGTCATCTGGCCCAACAACGCTGAACTCGTCAAAGTCCAGCCTGAACTGACACACATTATCGTGCATTGGATTTACCGTGAGCTTGCACTCGCCAATACCGGTCGTCGGGCTCGGGTATCGTGGGTTTGTAAACTGCGTAACGTACGCGTTCGAATTTTGATCGCATTTCTTCTCGACTGCAAGCGAAGGAAAGAAAATTATGGTGGTTATTAAATATGGAATGAGTGATAAAATTGGTGGTTATTAAATTCGGAATCAGAGAATTTTAGCCTTGACATTCCTGGCTGTAATATCTACAGATATTTCGTCCTTCTATGTCTCAGAAGGGTAACTCAAATTTCTTTTTATTAACCAGAAAACAACAGGATCTATACAAATATTTTAGCTGTCAATATAAAATTAAACAATTAATATCCATTTCAAGCGAATCTCGATGACTCACACACGCAACAGGCGCCTATTATTCCCCCCGCGCATGAGCCGTAGCTTGTGCCACCAGCGAGCGCGCAGTCTGCGACGCGCAGGCACACTCCTTCTTCAAATTTGTCATCGTTGGTGTTTTGGCAAATTACTGGAGTTGCTCCACTTCGAGGTATCAGCACTGTTGGTTTGATTTAAAATCATTTTGCGTGTAATCAGTCGTTTGAGTTTTGGATACATTCAAAGTCCAAATTTATGAATGAATTTAAATTTGTATCCGTCAATTTTTGGTGATGCTAAGTTTGCTCACTGATTTCGTATATCTTATCACATGTCTGCTCGAATGAAACGACGATGCATTGTGCAATCTACAAAAAACGTTTGTATATCTTTTCATATAAAAATATTCGCAGAAAGATGACAGGAGAAAGTTATTGGACAAAAGTCCCATTGTTTACAACCAATACAAACATGGAGTCTTCTTTACAAATACTGAGAAAGCATTCAAGCTAGCAATCCTCAACACAAGCCATGGTGTCATCCAATTAAGCCATCGAATGGAGACTATATTAGACTCTTTAAAAAGGCACATGATTTGCTATTGTAGACATGTCCAAGTGTCCATTTTCGTTGAAGGCTTTCATTAAGGGTCCTGTTTTTTAACACGAGACACAGCGGCCTGAACAGCCTCTCAAGAACTGGCGCAGCCACTGTCCAACATCTGTTGTTTGGTTGCGAGAAAATTCATCCTCCAACCGTAAGTTGATGTACGAGTTTCGAAAAAACAAGGGATTTTTTACAAGGAACATTCTATTAAGTGTAATTATGTCAATTTCAACAATGACTATTCAAGTTGAATAAAGTGGAAAAAGGCCAGGTGCATTTTTGCGACAGTACAACCGGTGTGTCAAGTTCGATCTTCCGATCCTGGGAATTTGTCAGAAGAAACTTGAAGTTTTTGTGGCCTACCAAGGCGAGCGCTAAGGGCGTTAGGCGTGCTTTTGAGAGCGGTTTTTATGCAATAAGGGTTCAAAACTTTCATCGCTGCGATGCAGAAGCCATTTTTACGTGGTAAAAGTAATCGAACAAACAGGATGTGTCTAAAAAGTTTAAATCAATTGAAATTGACATCTTCTCACTTTCGTGATTAACAAAATTGTCAATCGGATTCGATTTATAATTTAGTCATTATTAATCCAACGTGTACGGTAAATAAAAGCCCGTACTGAAGCAATAATAAAATTCGAACGTGAATGGAAAAATTTTTCATGAGCGCATCGAATTAATTATGAGATTGGATGTTTTTCAATTAGTTTTTTTTATTAATCAACATGCAGCCTGTTTTTAGTGACACTAAAGAGAACTTACTCTTTACTGAACAGAACTCACCTGAATAAGCTTCGTCCATAGAATTCCGGGAGAAGGCACCTTGGGAAGAAACAAATTAATTTTTATTAATGAGACTGGAGAACTTATTTAATTCTTTGAGAAGGGAATATTTATTTGAAATTATGCGACAATTATGCTACAGTGCAACGCGTGTTTGTTGGCTTCAGAATTTAAAGAGTTTTTCATTACTAAAAAAATAATTTTGCTCATGAATAAAATAATAAATAACAAATATGCAACTGTATTGAATTTTACACAGGAATAAAATAATAAATAACAAATATGCGACTGTATTGCTTCCTATTTAATGTTGATTCTACAGTGTCTCAGCAGATGACGGACTTTGCAATGACCTAAAAACATTCATCTGAATCTTCGTTCTCATATATTTTGATACAGAAAAAGGTATTTTAGAAATTTTATATATTGTTCCCGACCACGTGCTTCCTTACCCGTCACTCTATTGGTGATGCCGCTGGTGGATGGAAAGGCACCAAATAGGCGGTCCCAGAACCCTGAAGAGAAAATGATTGACTGAAAGTTTTCCTCAAATTAATTGTATTTATAATATATAAGAATTTTAGGTTGTCTGGAATCATTTTAAGCGCTTACTGAAATTGTTATTATTGTTCAGTCGGGAGAACTAAAATTTAGCAAGTAATTTTATTTTTTAATCGTTATGCTTTTGATCATCGGAAGTTATTTCTGGAAGTTCATGAATATATGTTCTAGATCATAATTATATTCTTAAAATTATAACTCTGTAAGCATAAAAAAATAAATGGAATTATCACGTGAAAAAAAACCTGGCCTGGGTTGGCCATAACTGATGTTTTTATCGAACTAAAGGCTTAAGCGTGTTTATGAAATTGTTTAACGTTTTACATAGCAATCCGCAAACCTGACAATAAACGAAGCCCAGCTCAGCATGCATTTATAAGTAAGTTTTGGAACTTTAATCTTTTTCCGATTAAAATATTTGTACTCAAAATTCCTGCATATCAGAGATCACCGATCTAAAGAGGAGAAGATTGTTATATTTATTAATCGTACAACTATATTAAGCCAGATTTAACACTGCTGACAAAATTAAATCCCAAATACAGTTTATTATTTCACTCGTCGTGAAACTAAGAACAAACAAAAATGGAATAAACAAACATTTACAAAAGTTACCGCCGTATTGGCGACGTTAGAATGCTACCACTCATGGTTGAATTAATACATGTATTAATTCAACCATGGCTATCACTCACATCTCGGTGTTCTGCTGCCACCGGACGCGGGCACCCGCGCTAACGCCACGTGCGCCACCAGCAACACCGCAGCAGCCATCGCAGTCCCTCTAGCCAGCTGCAAGAGGGTGTACGCAGAATTATATATTTGTTTATGATATTGGCATAAATAATTATTTATTACTTCCTGAAATAGGCCTAAATAATTATTTGTTACTTCCCGATATAGGCCTAAATAATTATTTATTACTTTCTGATATAGGTCTAAATAATTATTTATTACTTTCTGATATAGGCCTAAATAATTATTTATTACTTTCTGATATAGGCCTAAATAATTATTTATTACTTTCTGATATAGGCATAAGTAATTATTTATTACTTTCTGATATAGGCCTAAATAATTATTTATTACTTTTAAATAATTATTTATTACTTTCTGATATAGGTCTAAATAATTATTTATTACTTTCTGATATTGGCCTAAATATAGTAATAGTTTTATTTTTTCCAAAGAATATGATAGGGTAAAAATATCTGCAACTGTTTTGATATGAAATGTGGAGTTATACGTGGTTTTTCCCATGGAGAAATACGGTACATAAATTATTCTTACAGATACAGATATATGTTTACTTGAAACAATCGTCAATATGGTTTTTAATATTAACTATTGAAGTGCTTTTCGCGTTTGCACTTCAGTAGCGCTTGAGTCTCGGCTGTGTTAGTTTGAACTCCATGAGCAAACGACGACGTGTAATAGAGCGCAACAGCTTACAGTTATCAGTCATGATTCAATGTCAGAGATCTACAGTGTCTCGGCAGATGACGGACTTTGCAATGACCTAAAAACATTCCTCTGAATCTTCGTTCTCATATATTTTGATACAGAAAAAGGTATTTTAGAAATTTTTAATGGCATGACTTGCAAAAATTTTATTTTGCGAGCTTTCGCTAGAATTCCTTGGTAGAAATGGTATATTATTATACATTTTACCTAATTTTCACACTGCTGAAAAAGTACTCATCGCTTAGGCACGTACGATTTGCACTCTCTCTAGCACTGACCTCAATGGGAGAATCTTCCTTTAAATGAAATTAATACTTCAGACATTGATTGAGTTTAGTAATAGTTCCTCATACAAAAAACATTTATCATTTCAAGGAGCAATCATTTTATATCATATTGCATTCCTCGGAATTCCCATATGGCCGCAAATTGGGTTACTTCTTGCTGTAATTAATTGACAAATTAATTCCGAGAACCTTAATAACACAATCACCTATTAAGTTACGTTTTATGATTACAAATGGGTTTCTTATATGCCTGTGTTTCATAGGAGGGAAATATGTATATAACCGAGCGTCGTATGTATTCTACACGGTAACTCCTTCCATATAGGTTGAAGTCTATGCTTAAACTCTCATTTTGTTCGTGAATGACAGCAAGAAAGTAAGATCTATTATGGAAAAACAGTCAATAGTCAACGTAATGGTTGATTTCAATTAGCAGGCAATGTCCATGGGATACCGCCCATTCATCAGCCTATACTTCCATCGACGCATGACTTATGCCTCCTAGTCTGAATAATGTCACTGGTCATGCCTCATACTCAGATTGTGAATATGAGATATTTGAACAGGATAGAAACTATGTAAATAAAGCGCCTATTTCAAGGCTCCTGTATTTGTTTAGTTATTGTAATTTTTGTAAATGGATATGAGCTTTGCTCATATCCATTTACATTTATTATTATCCATTGATTATTATTTACTGAAATATTCAGTCGAAAATTGCGACGATTATTGCGATTATTATTATTATTTACTGAAATATTCTATCGCAAATCTGCGACAACTGTATATGCCCGTGCGGTATTGATTTGATAAAACATCCGCGTGAACAATATATGACGATTGGAAGACGATTTTAATGCCATTCACAACTTAATCTCGTTTAATCCAGCCACTGTCGTTACCTTCTATCTCTATATGTTAAGACTGCCGGGGTGAGGTGAGAAATTCCTTACGAAGTCATCCGCGCTCGTGATCAAAACTATATTATTCCATTAATAATTATTCTAATAACGAGTCTTTTTCGTGATAGTAACAATAATTGGAGCTCATTATAGGTGCTATAAAACAGAATAGTGATAACAAGAATATTTTCCCAAAGCGTATTATCACTTAAATCATCCCGCACATAAAAGGTATTCTAAATTATTAGGACTATCAAAGTGACTTGTTAGTCAGATACGTGATTATTTTATCAACTTTACATGCCCCTACACTTACACCCGACCTCCACCGCAGCCTGCGCTGCACTAGCGTAACAATAACGCTGCCTCTACTCTGTATCAGCGGTACCGTTTGACCTGGGGTCAACGCACGCTCGGCATGACCTTCTCGCTGGGACTAGAATAATTAAGTCACTGCAATTCAATGCTTTAATAAGATATCAATATCCTATTTATTATTTGACGTAAATTTATTTCACGTGTTGAATATTTCACACTTTTCAACATTATATCAAGAATATTTCCATGGATATGCAGTAAAGAATTTTCGAATTTCCTACACTTCTCTGTGAAGATTTGCTTGGTGTATAATTTTCAATTTGAAACAAATTAATAACTAAGAAACTAAGTGCAGAGGCTTACTAGATGCGTTATACGTTTGAATTTAAGTGAAGATCTTGCAAGTATTAAAATCACTTGACTGCTTAAAGAGCAAGTTCATCAAAAATTTAAAAACAAATAAAATAACCAGAAAATTAACCATTTCTTAAAAAAGGAAAACGTTTCGGAGAGCGAAAACGTTTCGGAATGAAGTAAAACGTTTCGGAATGACTTCCTTTAATTTTAAATTTTTGGAAATCTTGCAAGTAATGAATACCTTTGTATGGAGAATTACAGGCGATCTGATCCACCTTTATGTTCCAATTTCTCTGTGATGAAGTGATTCCTGTGTCGATGTTGATGGTTGGGTTGCCTCCGTTGGGATCCACATCCACGTACACTGTCGATAAAGTGTTGTAAAAAATCAAGCACGTACTGCAGTTTTTACAGACTTTAATAAAATATTCTTCCTAAAAATATTTTTTGATTTTATAAGAAATTTTCTATCGCCTTCCCATTGAAAATTTATTCCTCCAATGCTTTAGTTACAATTCCTTTCTTGATGTTCTCGTTTTATTCCTGAGATTTTTTAACGAAAATACGACTAGCATAATCCAGTGCTGTTCTCACTCACTGTGTTTGCCTGTGTTGCTGCTACACAAGATTGGAACACTCACTGTGTTTGCCTGTGTTGCTGCTACACAAGATTGGAACACTCACTGTGTTTGCCTGTGTTGCTGCTACACAAGAATGGAACACTCACTGTGTTTGCCTGTGTTGGAGCCACACAGTTTTGGGATCGTTGCGTCATTGGCTGATCCTGTGATGGTCATGAAGTCAGTTTCACATACGCCGTTCACGTTCGGCGGCTCCAGCTCAAAGCTCACAAAGTCCAGCCTCAGCTGGCATATATTGTTGTCCAGCAGCTGGACTGTTGTGACGCAGTTGCTCACGGTCGTGTCTGAGCTGGGACTGCTGGGGTTAATGAAAGATGATCCATTGCGGGTTGTAGTTTCTCCGCATGTTTGAGTAACTGGAATAAAAATCACGTAAAATTACTATTTAGTGTATTCTTTTTACCAATTTAGCAACAGGCATTTTTTTATGTCAAATACTTTTCTCTGTCGGAGTAGGATCAACATCGGTAAAGAAGAAGTGCCTTTTCACTTATACGAGTCATACAACTATCCATTAATTTCTCAGTCATTCATCTCTGAGTAATAAAATTAAAGATGTGCGATAATTCATCTCAATGTACCCACAGTACTCACTTTAAATCACGATCATACTTTTTTACCACAGTAGTAGTAGNTTTTAGAGACTTTAGCTACTGCAATGAACGGGAAGATGACTTGTGCCGCAAAGAGGGGGAACGATTTTAATTTTTAATTTAAAATAAATTTTAGATACTTTAGCAACCGCAATGAGCGGGAAGAGGACTTGAGCCGTAGAGGGGGGACAAATTTAATTTAAGATAAATTTTAAATACTTTAGCCACCGCAATGAACGGGAAGATGACTTGTGCCGCAAAAAGGGGGGGCAAATTGATTTGAATAATATTTTAAATACTTTAGCAACCGCAATGAGCGGGAGGATGACTTGTGCCGCAAAGAGGGGGAACGATTTTAATTTAAAATAAATTTTAAATATTTTATCAACCGCAATGAACGTGAAGATGACTGGTGCCACAGAGACGGGGGAGATTTTATTTTTTTTAATGATAATAATAAATTTTAGATACTTTAGCAACCGAAAGAGAGGGAAGATGACTTGTGCCGTAGAGAGGGGGAAGGATTTAATTGTTAATTTAAAATAAATTTTATATACTTTAGCAACCGCAATGAACGGGAAGATGACTTTTGCCGCAAAGAGGGGGGACGATTTTAATTTTTAATTTAAAATAAATTTCAAATACTTTATCAACTGCAATGAACGGGAAGATGACTTCTGCCGCAAAAAGGGGGAACGATTTTAATTTTTAATTTAAAATAAAATTTAGATACTTTATCAACCGCAAGAGAGGGAAGATGACTTGGGCCGTAGAGTGGGGGAAGGATTTAAATTTTTAATTTAAAATAAATTTTAGATACTTTAACAACTGCAATGAACGGGACGATGACTTGTGCCGCAAAGAGGGGAGACGATATCAATTTATTATACCCAATAATTTCCTGGATCTTGAGAAGCAATTGCAACGAACGGTCGGGTTCTCCTCCGCCAGCACCAAAATTAACGGGAAAATGACTGACCTCGCAGAAGGAGACGATCTTAATTTATTTTAATTTAATGAAGACGATTTTACATTATGTTTTTGATAATTGATGTTTTTAAGTTGTATGAATGCTACCAGTTTTTTCATAGATGTGTATAAGAGACAGATGTTGACAGGTGTGACATTGTATTTCGCTAGCTCTAGTTTTTTACATCAAAATGTCATCACATGATATCCGACACAGGTCACACGATTTCTTTTTTGAGTTTATCGAATTATATCGTAGTT